GGGGGGGGGGGGTGGGTCTCTGTATCGTCTTCATTCTTCCCCTCTGCACTGCAGCCGACACCAGTTCCTCTTCCCCTGAGTCGCTGGGTAGAGAGCCTGAGAAGCGCCAGGCACCACAGTGGATCCGGATCCGCGGAGGGTCAGACCCTCTGACCCCCCGCGTCCAGGTGAGCCACGACGCAGCACCTCCGCGCCGGAGACTTCTAGCACGACCGAGGCCAAGGCGTGGCAGGGGGACCAGAAAGGTAGGACGGAGGCACTAGAACTTGGGTCTGTGCAAACCACAGGACCCCGTCAGCAGCCCCCCACCCCCACCCCCACCCCCACCGCCAGCCCAAGACTCCCAGCAGCCTGCAGTTCGGAAAAGAAAGGCAGAGGGGCGGGGTCGTTTCCGGGGCAACGGTTCATTTGCATATAGTCCCTACTTGGCCAAAGAGGGCTCCCGAAATGTTCGGGGAAATTGGGCAACTTAGCCCGAAGGGGCTGATCTGAGAGAAGGGGAAGGGGCTGTCAGGGTCAGGTCTCCTCCTCGCCTTCCAAGCCCCTGAGGCATCCCGGTTAGGTACCCATTCCCCGGAAGGGGAGACTGAGGCAGGGGGCCAGAGCCAATCAAAGAGGAGCCACCAGCGGAAGGGCTAAGTTTTAACACTTCAGAAGTGGCCTGAGCTGCTCTCGGCTATTAAAAATATATATAACAAACATAGGTGGCGAGGGGGATGGTGACCCCAGACTGAGGTTTGGGCTTGGATTCCGGTGTCTCCGCCTAGGTTGCTTGCATGGGGGGCGCCCCGATATGGGTGCTGTTGTTGCCGCTGCTGTTACTGCTCCATCCAGGCAGCCAGGAATTGTCGTGCCATGTGTCCTCGGGGGACGTGGACTGGACCAGGGAGTTCACGGACACATGCCTGAACTTCAGTGGCCAAAACCTGAGCCTGCTGCCTCAGAACCAGTCTCTGCAGGCCAGCAGTGTGCTTCATCTCGACCTGTCTGGGAATGACCTTCGAGAGCTCCCACCGCTTTTTTTTGCTCACCTGGGAAAGCTGCAGGTCCTGGATGTGACCAACAACCCCCTGCACCGCGTGGACAGGGCACTGGCCGAACACTGTGACCTTGACCTGAGGGCTGACTGCAGCTGTATCCTATTACCCTGGCACGAGGTCCGGCGGGACAACTGCTCTGGCTCACTGCCTCTGCTGTGCCTGAATGTGTCCACCGGCTCCTGGCACAACGTCTCTGCCTTCTTGGAAGTGGGCTGTGCCCCTCGCCTGACCATGACAACCATAGGAGTGCTGGTGGCCAGTGGAAGCCTGTTCCTCATGCTTACCATTGCTGGCCCAGTGCTGGTGTGGAGACTCTGTAGACATCGGGTAGGCAGTAGCCGGGGCATGAGCAAAATGTGGGCTGCTCAGAATGGTCCCAGGTCTGGCTCGGGCCAGCAGCCACGGTACAGTAGCCGGGGCCTCAGCCCTAAGCTCCCAGCAGCCACCCTGCCCGGATCTTCCACTTCTGATTATGAGAACATGTTTGTGGGCCAACCAGCTGCCAGGCACCAGTGGGCTGAACACAGGTGAGTGACCCACACACATCTGCTTGCAAGACTCTGGAGCCAGATGGCCAGGGTTCAATTCCCAACTCTGCCTCTTACAGGCTGTGTGATCTTGGGCAAGTCGTTTCCACCTCTCTGGGTCACCATTTCTTCACCGATAAAATGGGGACAATAACAGCCCTCCGCCTCATGGAGTTGGGATAAGAATTGAGTTCTTGTGTATGAGGCAAGTGTCCCTCTCATGACCTGCAAACCCAGCTCCTGGCTGCCAAGGATTGAGAGAGAGGAGGCAGGCGTTCAAGGCAGAGTCGGGGCTCTGCGGTAGCGGTCAGCGGCCTGGGCTCAGATGTCGTGTGACCCAGGGCTGTTTCTGAACTTCTGTTTCGGTCTCTGTAAAATGGGACAGCACTCCGGTCTCCTTCTGACACATAGGAGATGCTAAGAAAGCCATCTGTGTCTCTCTCTACCCCGCAAAGCCTTGCCTCCAAAGTTGCCTGGGCTTAGATAGATGGGATCAACTTTTCCAGGTTGGATGAGGGAGTGGAGGGGATTTCAGGGGGGCAGGCACAAGGAAGGGCAAAAGCCTGGAGGTGGGAGAGAACAGAGAATCTGCTGTGCATGTGTTTTGAGAAGGCAAGAGATCAGGGGCTGAAGTTGGAGGGGGCTGGAAGGATCCAAGCAGGAAGGGAAGAGGGTCATGGCTGGGTTTTGGGGCAGCAGAATCCAAAAGGTGGGGAGGCCTGTGAGAGACTATTGGTTAGAAATAAGAGAATATGCAAAGCAGATGCAAATATGGCTCAAATGCAGAAGTTGGCTGAGGTAAGGAGTTGAAGGCACCATACTCCCTAAGGCAGCTTGTGTTCTGATGCTTGCCTCTGCCTCACTGTCACCAAGACCTCAGGACCAGTCTCCTCTAAAAACACTGTTTAGAATTGGATGTGTCAATCCCAACCTACATTTTAAAGTTGCAGAGATGGAGGTTCTGGAACTTCCCTGGTGGTCCAGTGGTTAGGACGCTGTGCTTTCACTGGTGAGGGTGCAGGTTCAATCCCTGGTCGGGGAACTAAGGTCCTACGAGTCGTGCGGTGTGGCTGAAAAAAGAAAAAGAAAGAAAGAAAGAAAGAAAGAAATGGAGGTTCTGGAAGGCAGGGGAATGACATGCCCAAGGTCAGAAGCAGAAGCAAGAAACAAACCCTGAGTTCCATCCCCATACAACCATTTATGTATTTGGAGTAATTTATACTAAAGTACAAATGACTGATAGACACCACTTATCCAAAGTGGCCTTTTTTACAAGAGGAGTAGGGGTGGGGGTGTTAGGATGTTCTGGAGGCAGGAAAGTTCTTCTCTGGGTGTCTTGCCCACCATAGCAAGACATTCCTAAGAAGCTACCTCCTCCCTGATCCATTTTGTGGATGGGGAAACTGAGGCTCAGAGATTTATTTTTGTATCAAGACCACAAATTCAGTTGCTTCTGGGGACCTGGTGAAAACATTTCCCATCTGAAGGGGCACTGGTTCAGCTCCAGCTACTTGTGTTCACGTGGCTGGTGTGACTAGAGCTTCCAGTTTTTCAAGAGGAAAACAAAATCTAGAATTTAATGTAAAAAATGGGCAACCATTTCAACTTGAAGGAAGAAAAAAACCCTACAATGACTCAAGGTCCTTGGACCACAGCGTTACAATGCTGAATCCACAGAATCTTCCCTGAATCACTGCCCCTTACTTGCTTTCCTCACAGAAAGTTGGGCCAGGCTGGGAGAACACTGCCCCATGACTCACTTTTCTCATATGTAAATATTAGGAGTGGATTCAATCGCCCTGAACTACTTTGCCTCTCAAAGCTGATGTGCCTGCTCCCTGAATCCTACCTGCCCTCCCATCTGTCTGTCCCCACAGGCCTCACCCTTCAGAGGACAGCGACTTCTACATGAACTATGAGAGCCTCCACCATGATTCCCAGCCTGTCTACTGCAACTTGCAGTCGCTGGACCAGGCCCCATCGGATGAAGAGGAGTATGTGTTCCCTGGGCGCTGAGCCTTCAACATCTCAAACTCCAGCCTACCCCCTTCCAGGTGACTTGGGGCACCCTGGGTCTTCCCTGGCCTCAATCTTCCCATCTGAGGAATGGGGCCAGGGAAGGATCATCCTTGAGGCCCCAGGGAGGCTCTGCAGCCCTCTCCCTAGACCACTCTGCTCCTCAGGCCGCTCGGCTGCTAGAAGTGGAGAAGGAGATGGGAGGGTCAACGTGTGAAGTCTGTCGTCACCCTCCTGTTGGTGTGCAAGTATTGCCCAATAAATTCTGCGGGACAGATGAGGCTGCTGGGCTCCCAAGACGAGAGCTCTGGGACTCCCAAATTGCTCCCAACCCCCAGTCTCTCTCCTCTGTCACTCTCAGGCCCCCTTCTCAGGTGCCTGGTATCCAGAATTGGCCCCCCAGGGCAGCCCACACTAGCCTCAAAGGGATCCTTATAACTCATGAATGGGACTGCGTCCCTCCCCTGCTCACGCACACTCTATGGCTCCCCACTGCCCCCAGATTCTCAGCCTGGTGGTTGAGACCTGCGTGACCCAGCCCTGCCCAACCCACTGCCCTCTCCCATTCCTCTGCCCTTCTGGTCTGGGCCTTCTCTCCATCAAGCTCACCTCCCTCCCGAAGCTTTCATTTTCTCATGCCATTTACCCATGCCTTTCCTTTTGCCCAGATTGCCATCCCCTTCCACGTTTTCTCACTCTTAAGCATCTAAATACGGATGCAGAACTCTGGTCTGGGCATCAGGAGGCATGGGTCCACTTCCTGACTCTGCCATTAACCCTCTGGGCTTCAGTTCCCCCATCTGTAAAACAAGGTGATTAAAATTGGCCTCTAAGGCTGTTTTAGCTCTAATATGCTGAGATACCTTAACTCACCCTTCAAGGCCCAGGTGCAATGCCAATGCCACTCTGAGAACCCTTCCCTGGTTCCTCCTCAGGCAGAGTTCATCACTCCCAGAGCTCAGTGTCTTTCAAGAGTTTGTTCAAGCTCATGCCTCAGCTGGGTTTCCTGTCAGCTGCTCCCAGCCCGACTCCTGCCAAGCCCCCAGACTAGGGGAGACAGAGCTGGACACAGACACCCCCAGTCCTGGGAGGTCAAGCCTGGGCCAGAAGGAGAGATGGAACGACGGTCCCCAGAGGGAGATGAATGAAGGAGTTTAAAAAGGGCTGTATGTAAGAGGGGAATCTGAAGTGTGTTTTGAAGGATGCATAGGTGTTCGAGAAGTAGATTGGACAAGGCACACTGGGCAGGGGGACCAGCCTGGAGGTGTGAAAAGGCACATGGGCAGCAGTGCCCGGCAAAGGCAACAGTTGATGTTTGGGGAGAGACTCAGTATGGCAGCTGCTACCTTTGGGTGATCCTGACATTGAGTTTAATTTTGAGGTTCCCTTGGCTTCCCCAACACCTGGGAGTGACCCAGGGTGGGAGAGGCAACCTATGAGGGTCTTCAGCTTCCTTGCACCCCTGCGTCCCTGCCCTAGACACTACTCGAGCCCCAACTCCTGCTGCCAAAAGTCTGTCTTCCTCTGCTCACGAATGCATTGCCTGGGTTGACCTCTTTGCATGATTCTTACTACAATCAGCCACTTATGATTTATCTTATACTCATTTGTCCCGCACTCAGCTGAGCTTGAATGGAGTGGTTTTTTTTTTTAATTTTTATTTATTTATTTATTTTTGGCAGCGTTGGGTCTTCGTTTCTGTGCGAGGGCTTTCTCTAGTTGCGGTGAGCGGGGGCCACTCTTCATCGCGGTGCACAGGCCTCTCACTGTCGCGGCCTCTCCTGTTGCGGAGCACAAGCTCCAGACGTGCAAGCTCAGTAGTTGTGGCTCACGGGCCTAGTTGCTCTGCGGCATGTGGGATCTTCCCAGACCAGGGCTCGAACCCGTGTCCCCTGCATCGGCAGGCAGATTCTCAACCACTGCGCCACCAGGGAAGCCCAAATGGAGTGGTTTTTGCCTACGTTGTTCCTTTGTGTCCTCAGTGCCCAGCCATGGCCTGGCACAAAGTGGGTACTCACTGAATACATTCAGGGGCACCTGCAGTCATTCAGATCTGCCTCTGGATGGTGGGGTTCACAGGGGACACATCTCACTCACTGCTGAAGCTGCGTACTCTGTCCTCCAGACTCCCATGACAGTTCCTCAGGGTGAACAGGCAAGTGGGTGTGGGGAAGGGGCTGGGCTTGGTACATCTCAGCAATTCCAAGATCCTAAGTAGGAAAAGATATAACCTGGGAGATGTGGTGTGCATGAAAGCCTTCTTCACAACTTACTTCTCCCTGCTCTTTTTTTTTTAATTAGTTAGTTAATTAATTTATTTTTGGCTGCGTTGGGTCTTCGTTGCTGTGCACGGGCTTTTCTCTAGTTGTGGCGAGCGGGGGCTACTCTTCATTGCAGTGCTCAGGCTTCTTGTTGCAGTGGATTCCTTTGTTGCAGAGCATGGGCTCTAGGCATGCGGGCTTCAGTAGTTGTGGCCCGCGGGCTCAGTAGTTGCGGCACATGGGCTTAGTTGCTCCATGGCACGTGGGATCTTCCTGGACCAGGGCTCGAACCCATGTCCCCTGCTTTAGCAGGTGGATTCTTAACCACTGTGCCACCAGGGAAGTCCCTCTCCCTGCTCTTTTTATATGAAAGGATAGAGGCATCATTAACATGAAGGGAGGTGCCACAAACAGGAGAGGTAATGGGACTCTTCCAGGTCGGGGCAGATTCACACACAATGCACTTGACTCTGGGCTGCCTGTGTTTGGAAAGGTGACCCCCATGGAGGGAGAGAGAGCAGGATGGTGATAGAGAAAGGGCCAGATAATTACGGAAACAGGAGTACTGAGAGATCAGAAGAGATGGAGGGAGACTGAGACCCAAAAGGGTCTCAGAAACAAAAGCAGAGGAATAGAGAGGTAGAGAAGCACAGAAACAGAGAGAGGGATGTCTCTGGCTGCGCTTGAGGACCATTGGCATCGTGACCACCATCCAATTTCTTGGCATCCCCAAGAACGTCCTGCCACCCATTCCCCGGACTGTTCCAATCATCTCATATCAGCTCCCCTGAGGGAACTGAGGCCAGCGGGGGTGGGCTCTTCCCAAGGTCACCAGCTCCATCCTGGACACCACAGGGGTCAGGTCAGACAGCTTCATTTTTATTACCAGAGTTTTCCATAAACGCACACCCTGTCAGACCATGCCTCCCCAGCCCTCCAGTCCCCAGGCAGATCACCCCAATAAATTAATAATAAATACAAACATAAATACATAGGTTTGGGCCAGGAGGGAGCAGTCAGCAATGGTTAGGAATCGGGTATTTCAGGTTCCACAAGCCCATTAGACAGACAAGGACAACTGAAGTCATTTCCATTTCATTTGTGCCATAAGTGAAGGACCAGGGCTGCTCACACGCAGTGGCAGTCCTTGGCCACGAGGTCGTCGAAGGGCGTGAGTGACACGCGGCCGTCGCTGTCTTGGTGCATGAGCACCACCGGATCGTAGCTGGCTGGCACGCAGCATGGGGCAGGCGCAGCATCAGGGTTCAGGCCATGCAGGCGCGCTTGCATCTGCGCGTGCATGTTAGCCGATCGGAAATGGCTCGGGCACGCGCCGGTGCACATGCGCACGTCCAGCTCGCGCGGCGCCAACACCCAGTCAGCCCAGCCCAGGTCCTCGAGCGACGCCCGCAGGCTCTGCAGGCGACAGCAGCGCCCCTCCCCTAGCGGGCAACCGTCCCGGGTGCGAGCATGCGCGTGGCGTCGCCCCCTGGTGGCGCTTGTCCGCCAGTGCAGCTCAAGCTGGGGCTGTGCAGAAGACAATGCCTCCAGCAACTGGTCCGGTCGCCGCAACGGTCGCAGGCGTATTGCGGGAGCCCGGGAGCTTCCGAGGCTGAGCTGACGCTGTAGTGGCCGCGTCACGTCCCACGAGCTCCGCGCCTTCGGGGACAGCCGGAGAAGGGCCCTATGCAGGCGGGAGGCTGCAGGGAGCCCCTCAGTTAAGTCGACCCGGGGGATGCGCAGGTGCAGGTGGCCGCCTGGTCCAAGTCGCACTATGGGAGAGAGGAAAACCAGTCATTCACGGGCCTACTGTGTGCCGGGCGCGGGGTGGTGGTGGCGGTGTGTGTGTCCATTTCCTCCAACACCCCAAAGCTAGGTCTTACCTCAGGGCCTTTGCACAAGCTACTTCGTCTATGGGCCACACTCCTCCCCTGAATCTCAGCATGGCTGGTTACATACCACTCCAGCCTGCCTAAAATTGGCACCGACCTATTTTATTTGGTTGTCTATTTGCCTCCCCCACCAGAATCTCAGCGGAGATTTCTGTCTGCTTGGTCACCACTGTGCCTGACACATAGTAGGTGCTTAGTTAACGAGCTACTGTGTTTTCAACGCTCTGGTTTCCTCCATATCTGAGAAATGAAGGGTGTCTCAGACCTCCAGGATTCTCAGACCTCCAGGCTGGTACAGATGTTGGGGATACTGGGCAGACTGAGGTTTGAGGGCTCGCAACCCAGTCACTAGGCTCAGAGAGAGGGAAGTTTTCCTGGAGTCCCACAGCACAAGTGGGATTAGGGCGGGATAAGAGCTCTCCCTTCTGGCCTGACATCCTCCCCTCAACTCCCAGTTCCTAGCGCAGCCCACATCTCCTTGCACCCCCTCCATCCACTGGAGGCTCGGTGGAGGGCGTGAAAATACTCCACTCCCTCCCTAAGGCACCAGTCACGTTCAACTTTAGCAGTGCCTTGGCGCGCGATTGCATCAGATTCGGAACCAGCCCAAGCAGGTTCTGCGCATCTCTGCGCACCACTCTCTCCCCTCCCCCGCCCCGCCCTTCCGCCAGACCCCTGGATCCTTCCCACTGGAAATCCCCCTCCAACCCTTTCCTCACATCCAAGGGCAGGGACCACGTCCCCACGCCGGACCTTGTCTCTGGGTTCTCCAGACTCTTTGAGTCTTCAGTAGAGTCTCTGGATTCTCTGGCTTTAGTTTCCCCATCTGCCACACGGGGAGGTGTTG